CCGGGGAGGCACGTGGTCCTTCCCGTCGGCGGGAAGGAACCATGGGGCCCGTTCCCATCGGCGGGAAGGGGTGGCCTCGGACCGCTTCCCAGCTGCATGAAGGAGGGCATGCCCACGCTTCCTGCCGGCAGGAGGGGAGCAGAGATGATCGCTTCCCGCGGGCGGGAAGAGGCGACGGGTGGCCTGGGAGGAGCACCGTATCTCTGTCCTCATCTTGTCGGCATCGTGCCCCCCCAGCCTCTCAGCAGGGACGGGGGCCGTCGGTTCGGCTTGTCCTGAAAACTCTCGGCGTTGGTGCCTGCACTTCCACGGGGGAGGCGATCGGCAGAACCATGAACCCTGCATCGCCCCCCCTGGTTGAATACAATCCTTAGCCTGCCATTGCGCATTGGAACTTCAACTTTGGCGTAGGTCCTGGGCCGCACGTGCCCAGCGTGAGGCCGCGTCCCCGGACAAAAACTTTGAAGCGTTGATTTGGTTAGAAAATCGACGGGGCCCGGCGACATTTTCGTGGCCGCGGCGGGCGAAAGCGCGCGACAGAGCAAGCTGGCTAATCGCGATGCGGTTACCCCGACTTGTTTTTTAGGAGCAAGCCTCCGAAGGCCCACGGCGCCGAGTTCTTCGGTCGACGTTACCCCCTTCGGCGGCGCGGCGCCGCCCGTGCCGTGCGAAGCGCGCCACGGCAGAGTGGCCGAGTGGTCAGCGCCCTCCTCAGCAAGTCCGCGTGGACCCCCGAGCGTTCATGTTTACTGAAGTTTTTGTTCACTGCTTACGTATAGAGTTGCCCCTCACGGGCCGAGCATCCTGCCCTCTCTAGTATTCAGGATGTTTGCGCCATCCCGCTGACCCCCGGAAAGTAGACAGGCGACGGGGAGGGTGAAGGGGAGGAGGAGGAGGAGGAGGAGGAGGAGGAGGAGGAGGAGGAAGAGGAGCTCGAGCGGGGGAGGAAGAGGAGGAGGAGGAGGAGGGAGAGGAGGATGAGGAGGAGGAGGAGGAGGAAGACGATGAGAAGGGGAACCACCGCAGTAGGGGCAATGGTTGCGAGCTTGTGTTCGTCATTCCGCGCCACTTCAGCCGTAATCGTCAACCTCTCTCTTCCTTTGGATTAGAGTTTACTCGATCCGCGTAGGCTCAAAAACTGCTCGGGTGCCTCGCGCAAGGAAGCAGGATTTCATGCCATGAGCCACTCGGCCCTGCGGTTTCCTTGCGCGCTGGGGGCTTGGTGATGGAGGCCAACCTGATGGCTGATCTCCTCGCACTCGGACCACCCACCGCGTGGTCAGGGCAGCCGCGGCGCGGCCTGGGGAAGGGAGCCCGCTCCGGCGCCGCAGGACAAGTCGGAGAAGTGCCGCGAGCTCGCTGTGAAGGCGGGGTGGGGCGACCCAGGCCTCGGTGGGGCGTGAGCACGCACGCGCTCGAGCACGCGCACGCCGACCACACGCACGATTCGCACACGACTGGCGTTCTTGGGCCGTTCCTGCCCCGAGGAGCCACACGGATAGGTCCGGCTCGAAAGAAGGTGGCGTCCAGGCGCATGGGCTCGGAGAGGCATTGATCGGGCTGGGAGGATGGGGGTGGGCGAAACGATCAGATCATCCGTATTACCGCGTATGCGGGATGTGCGTATCACACAGCCGTGCCCAGTATCCTCCCAACCCCCTCCTTCCCAACGCGATATTGTCTTTCTCAATGGAGTCGGGTGCTCCCATGTGCTCTCGCCGCCGGGTGTTCTGCAGCGCCGCGCTCATTGCACGGCGTCGGAGGCCCAGGGGCGCGCGAGCAGACGCTGCGGCGCGCTCGGGCCAGGCCGAGTGCGCTGCTTCGGTGCTCTAGGCCTCCCGGGTGGGGTCCGAGTGGATGGGGTCGGAGGATCGCGCCGCATCGCCCGTGCATCGGCGATGCACCGGTGATGCGGCTCGATGTGGAGCCGACTTACCCCACGCCGACGTCGCCGATACATCCTCAGTGCATCGCCGATGCATCGGCGATGCGGCGCAGTCCTCCGACCCGATCTGTTCGGACCCCATCCAAGCCGGGAGGCTTCGAGGCAGGGGGTCGGCGAGGGAGGCGGCGGCAGGCCACAGCAGCTGGGCACGGGCGGGGAGTGCCCCCCCCCTTCCGAAGAGAAGTATGGACCACCGCCGCCGAGAACCCATATGCGCAACGGGCCGACCCCGTGGGCGGTGGCACGCCCGAGCCCGAGCGTCGCCCGGCACAGGGCGACGCGATCGGGCGTGTGACCGCCCCGCCCAGGGGTCGGCCCCACCCCGCTGGGCTCTCTCGATGGCGGTGGTCCGTTCGTCTCCTCTGGCCCTCCCCCCCCCCCCCTCGCCCGCCCTCCGCCGACACGAGATTTGTTTTTTGCATCCGCGCACGATGTGTGACATCCGCCAGCACGGGAGGGTGCGGCGGCACCCCTCAAGCAGGTGGGGGGAGGTTGCGGAAGCCATCAGCGAGGCCGAGGGAGGATCATGAGAGATTTGATGGAGAGGAGCTGAGGAAAGAGGCAGCTGAGGAAAGAAGCCGAGGAGGGAGGATCCAAATGCCCACGACGGAGCCGAGGGGAGCTATAGCAAGGCGAGTCTACCCCGAAGGCCGCTCCGGCAGCGCGAGATTGCTTCAGAGACTCCGAAAGCCTGCGTATTCCAAGTTTTGCTCGGCTGCGAGGCATGGACCCGCCAATGGAACTTGCACCGTGCCGCCAGCTGCAGCATGCCGAGGCGAGGAAGCACAGGCGCGAGGAAAACACCAGCTGGTATCCATCTCTCTGCGGCAAATCCCGCCACCGTGCCAGCGCAGCGGCCCTATAGATTTCAGCGATCGCGACATTCACAGTACGTGCTGTGTCCGCAAGTCATCCCTCAAGACGAGAAGTTCGTTGGAGAACCTCCCCTCTTTTTGGAGGAAGGCACTTGCAAGGGTCAACTTAGCATCATTATCCAGGTGCCTCCGGCACACCCCGCCACCGCGCCAGCGCACCAGCGCAGCCACTCAAGTGGAAGTAAGTTGCGCACATCTCGGGCTCAGTATCGTGTAAATGCCGCTCGAGGGGATGCCGCGCAAGTGCACTTGTTTGAATCTTGAGACAGGCAGTCTCAAGCATGTCCCACCCAGAGAGTTCAAACCCCGTCGCAGCATCCGATCCAGCCATTTGTTCCAGGGGAGGTGATGCGCAGCCTCATCGAGAATGCGTCGGAGCTGTCGGCGGCGCTGCCGTACGTGTTCTCCACGCTGGTCGCTCGCCTCGGATCCGAGGAGCGCAGCCCGCGCCGGGACAGTACAGGGAAGCCGGTACACATGACGCGCATGTGACGTTCTTGCGTTCGGCTCTCGCAAAGCCAGGTGTGCTGCCCCTCTCCCTCGCCTGCGCGCTTGCGAACATGTCGGCCGATCTCCGTCATTTCCAGGCCGGTGGGGCTGGCGTCGGGGGGGAGCGCGCCGATTCCGGCCAGATCTGAGGCCCTGGAGGGGCCCCAAGCCCGCGTGTTCCCCGCTTCCGCCCCTCTGAACACGTGCAAGAGCCCTCGGTGCAGGACTCGCTCCCTTCATGATGCGAATCGCCCAGCGCCTCCTGGCAGGATCTCGACGGCGTCGCGCACCTTCCCGAGGTGGCTCGGCCAGACCCCGAGCAGAAGCCCGTGGAGATCGTGCGGCGCGCACCCTTCCGCCTGCCGCGCACGAGGAGCAGGAGGAGTGGGGGCGTAGCGAGTAGGCGCATGAGCAGGAGGAGGGTCGGGAGCAGGGCGTGTGAGTGTGTGTGTGTGTGCGCGGTCTCTGAGGGCTCGGGCGTTCCTAGTCTCGCACGCGCACAGGGCCGCGCCGCCCAAAAGCGTGCGTGTGTGTGTGTGTGGCTGTGTGTGTCTCTGTGTATGTGCATATGCGTTTATGTGTGAATGTGTGTGTGTGTGAATGTTTGTGTGTGTGGGTGTGTGAATGTGTGTATATGTGTGGGGCTAGCATTTCTTCCCGAAAGGGCTGATGAGGTCCACAGCATCGTCGCCTGCTCTCCTACGACCCGCTTGATCTTTCAGGTGGGTGGCTCTGGTTGCTGCGATGAGGTATGACATGAAAGCAGGAGGAGGGGATGACAAGTCGCACGAGGGGGGAAGGAGGATGAGCAGGAGCAGGAGCCAGGAGGAGGAGGAGGAGGAGGAGGAGGAGGAGGAGGTTGAACGGAGGAGTAAGGCGGGATGAGTCCAGGAATGGGGCGGGCGGAGAAGGGCGGGGAAGGAGAGTCCTGGACGCACGTTGCGACTGGCCCCTCGGCCCTTACGCAGAAGACGTGTTGATAGTGGTGTCGATGTTTGCCTTTGCCTCGACCTTCTATCCAGCTGCCTGCGGCAAGTCCCGCCACCGTGCCAGCCCAGCATTCTTGGGGCGATATTGCTGGCCTCCTGGGCCGTCTACAGCTGACGGAAGCTTGGAAACGTGAGAATCCAACAAGCAATGAAACAATCTATGAACAACGATCTGTTTTTGCCTCTTCGGGCCTTCTGGAGCCTCCTCTTGAAGCCCTCTTGAGCCGTTATTGGGGCCTTTGTGAGCTATGTTGAGGCCATCTTGGGCCGTCATGGGGCTATCTTGGGCCCTCTTGGCGCCATCCGTGACCATTTTGGAGGCTTCTTCGTCCGTCTTGGCTGCCTGTGCGGCTGTCCGGGGCCCTCATGAAAACCTCGGAGAGCTCCAGGATGGCACCATGGCCGCCCATGGACCCCCATGGGGATGTACGCCGGTGGGTGCGAGGTCACGGGCCCTCTTGCGGCGATCCCGGAGGCTGCCTGGGCCGTAATGAGCGAACGGAAGGCCAGCGACGTGAGAATCCAACAATCGGTGAAACACGCACGGAACACCATCGTTTGGTGTTTTCTCGGGCCTTCCAGAAGCTCATCTTGGGGGACTTCGGAGCCGTCATGCGGCGTCTGCGAGCCGTCTTGAGGCCATCCTGGGGCGTCTTGGGGTTATGCTGGGCCCTCTTGGAGCGAGCTTCGGCCATCTTGGAGAAATCTTGGGCCATCTTGGCGGACTGGATTGCTTTCCTGGGCCGTCTTGGAAGGCTGAGGGCCCCAAGGAAGCGCCATGGCCGCCCAGGATCCTCCGGGAGGAGGGGCGGTGCACGCGCCACTTTGTGGCGAGAGGGGGGGGAGCCCCTGAGAAGACTATAGAAATCCTGCCAGACAGCACTTGGCATTCATCCATGCCTCAACGTGCCAGGAGGCACGGTGGCGGATTGATGGAGGCAGGACGCAGCCGAAAGGATACCAATTCCTTTGTGCGCAACCGAAGTGTGAAGCTAAGCGGATCAGCTTGTGAAATCAGTGTGGGGGGGGGGACGTGGAGATGCAACAGGATGATGATGTGCGTACGTAACGACAGCGAGGGGGGAGAGGAGGAGTGGGAGACGTTCGTATGTTTGATTATTGCGTCTTTCATGGCATTCCTTCTTCGCACCGTCCTTGGACAGGCCTGTGGAGGAGAGCGAGGAGGTGAGACTGGAGCTTGGGCGACTGGTGGCATCATTGCTACCGCGCTGCAACCAGATGCAGGTATACTCTTACGTCGATGAGGTGTGCAGGGATGGCTGCCAGGGTGCAGTGGTCGCGGTGGTGCTACATGTTTTGAACTCATATTGCCGCCCCTCCAAGTTGACACCCAGTTTGTCTAACCAGAGGCTGTCTGACCGCATGTCGAACACATGACTGGGTTGCGTTATTTCAGTTGCAGGCGCATGGGACATGTATGATGCGTAGGCGAGGTTGTTTCTCTATTGGCAGGACTCGGTATATGGTTTGGGGAATTATGATGACCATCACCGTGGACGGCTGTGCAAACTTTGCCCACCATATTTCACGTGCGTGGGAACAGTGTTTTTGTGGTGTGTACGCGTGTGCTCGTATACACATCTAGATATATACATACACATGATATACTAGATATAAGCATGTGCATACAGATGTACAAAAACGTATACACGTTTACCCGTTGGATTTGGCGTTTTGGGCGATGCAGCGTACCTCAAAGTTTCGAAGCTAAGGGGGTACAGCGTGCAAACGAGTAGAATGTCGCATCCACAGGGCGGTCTCGCACGAAACTCATAGCATTCACAGCTTAGTGGTAGCGAACGGCCGATGCCAGAATGAGCAAGGGTTTTCAATGAAGTCACGCTGCAATGCTCGGATTCCTCTACTTTCGTGGGGTACACGTCTGCGCCGTCGATGGGCCTGCTCCCATCCTTTCCGCTTTCGTTTCCCCCTCTACGTTTGCCCTCTCGCCTCCGATGTCACAACGTGTGTGCATACGGGTATACACATGTGTGTATACCAGGCTGTATTGGCGATCCACGCAATCACCTGGAATTTTCGAAACACGGGGGGGAGGAGCGTGCAAACGAGCGGATCATGTCCACGTGATGGAACTTCACGGGTCTTGTAAGTTTGGCCGCGAAATGTCCGCGAATGGCCGACAAAAAGATGCGCGACATAATTCACAGAAGTCGCTGCAAAGCTCGGATTCGTTCTGTTTCGCAGTGCACGTCCTGATTGGCAATCGGCTTGCGCCTTTTACTCTTCCCCCTCACACCTCTTTCCCAACCCCTGCCCGTATTCCTCTTTTGTCTCCTTATGTGTCCTCTGTGCGTGCTACTCTTTCGCTTTCTTATCCGCTCCTGCCACCTTGTCATCTCCCTCCCTCCTCCCGCATCCTTTCCTCTTCGGTCCTCCCTGTGTTCCTCCTCCTTCGGGCTCTCATGAGGCGCTCTTGACCCGTCCTTGGGTCGTTTTGGGACCGTCTTTGTCCGTCTTGGGCCTCTCCGCGGTGCCTCGTGAACCGTCCTGGTAGCCTCTTGGGGCCATCCTGGGCCGTCCTGTTCGCCTCGTAGGTCCATATCTGGCTCTCCTTGGATTTTCGAAGGCCTTGTTGGAGGCAGGTTGATTCGATGAACCCGACGTGTCCCCAATTATCGATGATCTTTCTTCCATAGTAGTTCTGAACAATTCTGAGCAAAGCGAAGCAAATCAGTGCAGAGTATTGCTTGGACTTGTTTGGCATTGCATGGCATGATTTTGAATCGTTGCTTCACATTGCTTGGAATCCTTGCTTGGCATTGCTTGGTGTTTTTGTACTGCTTGGCATTGCTTGGGATTGCTTGACGTTGCTGAGTGTTGTCTGGCATTGCTTGTCATCGTTGCTTGGTATTGCGTTGCGTTGCCTGACATTGCTTGACATTGTTTGGTACTCCTTTCCATCTTTTGTTGTTGCTTGGCGTTTCTAGACATTGCTTTGCGTTCCTGGCGTTATTTGGCATGGAAAATTGTCGCTAGGCAATGCTTGGAATCGTTGGTTTGCGTTGCTATGCTTTGATTCGCATTGGTGCTTAGCGTTGCTTGTCGTTGCTTGGCGATGTTTTGCGTTGCTTGGCGTTTGCTTGGCGCTGGTTTTCCATAGCTTGGCGTTCATTGGCGTTGCTTGGCATTGGCTGGGCATTAGCTTTGCATAGCTTGGTACTGTAGAGACTGGGAGGCCCAAGAAACAATGCTAGGGAACCCGAGGGAGAAGACCAGGGGACCCGAGAAGGGAAGGCAAGGGTCCAGACCGGGGAACCGAGCACGGACCAGGGAACGCAACGAGCAAGACCGGGGGACCCGGGCAAGGTGGCACGGAAACCAATGCCAGGGAATCGGGCAAGGCCGGGGCCGGCCTCGAAAGTGGGGGGGTGTCACCCACGGATTCTTCACAAAACAATCAAGAATCCCTTGGGCAAAGTTTGTTTGGGGAAAAGACATGGGAAGCGAAACAACATCGAATTAGATTGGCGCAGGGCCGAGCCATGGGAAGCTGCGTGTAGCGCAGGACGTGCCCACTCTCTTCACATACTGCGCGCCGCGGAGCCGTGCGGATGGGGGCAGGCGGCCTGCGGAGTAAGCGCGCTGACTCCCTTGCGGGGCACAGCCCGCGTGACGGGGGAGCCGAACAGCGCGGAGAACGGCAGGCAAGCTGTGTCGCTGGGACCGCATGGGTCTCCCTGTGGGGCACGGCGCGTGCGAGGAGTGTGCCGAATGGGCAAGGGGGGGCCGGCAAGAGAGACTGCGTCGCTATGGCCGACGGCGGAGCTCTCTTCTGTGGGGCGCAAGTCGGTGCAAGGGGCGTGCCGATGTCGGCGCGGGCAGGGAGGGGGAGGGCGAGGAAGAGGAGGAGGGGGAGGAGGAGCGAAGAGAAGGGGGAGGAGGAGCGAAGAGGAAGGGGGAGGAAGGGGAGGACGAGGAGGAAGGGTGAGGACGAGGAGGACGAGGAGGCGAGGAAGGGGAGAACGGGGAGAACGAGGAGGGGAGGAAGGTCAGGACGAGGAGGACGGGGAGGGGAGGAAGGAGAGGACGAGGAAGAGGAGGAGGGGAGGAGGAGCTAGGAAGGAGAGGACATGGGGTGTGGCGCTGCGTATTCAAACAGGGGGCCCAATAAAAGAGGGGTACTGGGGAAAAACATGTTTTTGGGGTTAACCGATTTCGGCTGTCCGGTTCCTCCTGAGGAGGCTCTCAGGCGCTCTTGTCGGGCAGTCGCTTCCAGCCCTTGATGCTCTTCTTTGGGCCTCTGGACAGCATCTGGGCGTCCTCCTGACCACCACTGGCCCATCTGCAAAGCCTAGCAGGGGCGTCCCGGACGCCTGGAAGCCCTCTGGTTCAGCTTTGCCCTGGACCCACAGTGGTTTTGATCGCACCTCGTTCATGCAGATGCCACTGGGCAGCGCCACGTGACCAGCCGGTTGAGCGCTCCAGAGAGTCACTGGCCTGCGGACGTTCAGACAGGATGCGCGTGCACGTGACCCAGGCGAGGGTCCTCGCGGCGAGGGCTAGGCTCTCTCTGCCGCTGCCGCGGCGGGCCCGAGGCCACCGGCCTCCTGCGCGCGCAAGCCATGGACCCCTTCCACGAGGTGAAGGCGGCGGGGTGCCGGTCTTCTGGGGCGGAGGGGGGTCTGGAGGGGAGGCGTGGGGGCAGGGTGGAGGGAGGAGGAGGGGGGAAACGAAGGGTGAGGAGGGGGGAAGAGCAGGGAGAAGGATGAAGAGGTGGGGGGGAGGAGAAGGGAGGTGCTGGGGGAGGGCAGAGTAGGGCGGAGGAGGAAGGGAGGGGGTAGAAAGAGGAAATGGGGGAGGCAGAGGACAACCAGGAGGAAGCGCAGGAGGAGGATGCACGAGTAGGAGCGAGTGAGGAGGAGGTGTCGGGAGGGGGAGCATGGGGGAGGGGGGAAGAGCCGCCAGGAGCAGGAGGAGGAGAAGAGGGGGCCTATCTTTTTGTTCCGGTGCTTCGCGGTGGTTCGGGAATCTGGCGCCGGCCGTTCCCGGCCGTTTTTTTTTTTTGTTTTTTTTTTTTTTGTTTTTTTACATTTGGCCTTATAGAATTTTACGACGACGTCCGTCTCGTCGTCGTCGTTCGTCGCTGTTGGTTGGTCGGCCTGTCGTCGTCCGTCGGTCGTCGCCATCGGTCGTCGTCCTCGTCGTTCGGTCGTCGTTGGTCGGTCGGTCGGTCGGTCGGTCAATCGGTCGGTGGTTGTTGCCTTCGTCGATGTCCGTCGGTCGTCGCCGTCGGTCGACGTCGTCGTCGTCGTCGGTCGCTCGGTCGGCCAGTCGGTCGGTCGGTCGGTCGTCGTCGTCGGTCGGTCATCGTCGGTCGCTCGCTCGGCCGCTGGGTCGCTCGATCATTAGTTCGGTCGGTCGGTCGGTCGGTCGTCGTTGTCGCCGTCGTTGTCATTCGTCGGTCGTCGTTCAGTCGGTCGGCACATCATCAATATTCTCATTAACAGATTAGCCGCCTGACTGTAGCAACCACATTCCACCGATTGTAGGGGCCCCAGGGAAGAACGAGGAGGAGCAGGAGGAGTCGGCCGCCGTACCATCGGCTATTGAAGATGGACCAGACATGGCATTTGATCTTTGCGCAAATTAGTTCTGTAAAGTATCGCATGGTGGGAGACGGGAGTGAAGGTGAGGAGCGAGATGGGGGGCAGCTGATTGGTCTCGGTTCGCTGGAGGGCGAACGGGCTGCGATGGGCAGCGAGACCGGAACATGGTGCGCTCGTGACTGATTCGAGCGCATCCTGTCCGCACGCTCGCAGCGCCAACGTGCGAGGCCCTGGCCTGCGAGACGATGATGTCGTTCTGCCACAACCACACCGAGATGCTGCTGCACTTCTCGGAGCCCCTGGGGCGGTGCGCTCGGGGGGGGCCAGGGGGCAGCGCACAGGAGACGGCCCGTTGCTCAACCGCCGGCCAGCCCCCGCTCCTCCCGCCCTCCCGCCGTGGCCCGGCAGGCCTGCAGGACGAGGGCAGATCGCTCCAGAGCGTTTCGGGGGGCTCGCCGCACCACTCGGGACCGGCCGCGGCGCCAGGCACACGCTCCAGACCCGCGGGCTCAGAGGCTCCCGATGCATCCTCGCCGGGAGTCGTCACCACGCTGGCGCCGTCCGACGCGGGGGACGAGCCAGGGCGGCGGGAGGCGGCACGCAGCACCGCCAGCAGGACACCCCGGCGAGGCGGTCCACGACGCGGCCTTGAGTTGGGGCCTGGAGACGTCTGGGGCGGCACGCCGAGAGGCAGCAACACCGCACCACCACCCCGTCCTCTTGCTCCTTGGCTTTGGCGGTGCTGGTGTCGCGTTTGCTTGCTCCCTGGTTTCAAACAGTGACGAGGAGCCCTGGCTTGCGTATAGGCCCACCAAAGAATGTACTGAGAACTTTTTGTGGTTTGCACGAAATGCTCTTAGAACATTTCTGGCTGAGACCGTCTTGTTTTAACACATTGGGTCTGTGTTTCAAGAGCCTTGTTTGCATTCTGAAAAGCATTTCTGGGTTCTACGAACCTACCGTGGTAGGCCAACCTATCGTGGTAGGCCTATATGAATGCCAGGACTATCGGTTCCTGCTCAAAGGTTTCGTCACCCTCGCAATCGACCTCTCGATGCGTTGTTCATGCGCTGCGCGGTACGCGAGGGCCCAGAGTCCGAAACGCGTCGTCATCAAAACCGTCGTCGGCTAGGCCCGGCGAGGCGGCTCGAGGCGTGGCGAGGCCCGGCGAGGGGCGATCGGCTCGGCTCGCTGGGTGCATTTTTTTGTTCTGGAGCGGGTAGTGCGGGAGTGCGGGGGTACCGCGGTCGGCTTCCACCATGCAGGTGACGATGTAGTCGACGTTCTGGGGAGCACGCCGATTTCAGCCAGACTAGGGGCCCAGGATGGGGCAGATTTGGGGGAACGCCGCCGATGTCGACACCCTTCTCCCGCGCGCGACAGGCTAGGGTTCCCAGAGACGGTCTGGGACACCCCTACCGTCCTGTGAGTGCGCGGACATTCGGGGTGGGCGGCTCGTTTTTGGACCTCGGCCGTTCTTCGAGGACGTCTCGAGCGTCTGGGGCCCCCAGGGGTCCTCGAACTGTCTGGTGACGTTGCCAGGCTCTGTGGCCACTAGGCTGCTGGGATACTCCTGCAGATCATACAGATGCCGACGTTTTGAGATGAGGGGGCGCTGATCCTCCACGTCACACGTCCCTCAAGCCGAAGCATGCGGCTCCCGAGATCTCGAGGTCAATGAGCGGTGTCAGATCGCGTGCACGCTCATCGGAACGTCATGCGTCATTTTCGCTTTTGGAGGCTTGAGCCATGCTACACAATGCCGCGTCCTATTTGAAGTATACTTCCCTTTTCGGTTCCGCCAGCGGCATTCTCCAGGTCCGAGGCTTAAGCGCTCTACATCACTTCACCGCTTTTGCGTCCCAGGTCTGGGGCCAGTGCTTTGCGAAGGACTGATACCAGAGCAAGGGTAAGACAAATAACGGTCGCACGAGTGCTGAGGCAAGCAGTTCCGTTTCTTGGCTGCAACGTTGCCGTTCCCCTCAGGAATCGGACCTCATTTGCTACAAAGACAAAGCCGTCCCAGAGGGCTCCGCCTGATTATAATGAGAACGGCACCTGCCGGGTATTTCTTTCTGCCATCCGCAACCCGCACTCCAGGATGGGGGTGAGCGGGTGAGCCCCCCCCCCCTGCACGCATCGTAACCTGTGAATCGCGATCAAAAGCTGCCGCAGACAGGAGGGGATAAACACAGACACAAACAATCGTCGACTCGCAGGAAGATATGAGAAATATGGGAAGCGGAGGGGAAGACGAAGATCCAGTGACTATCAAACAGATGGGTAATGGGAAATCCCTGGATCTGTGTGTCTCTTGATTGGTGTGTGTCCCTGGGCGCCTTCCTGACAGTGCGTTCCTGCGCAGCCCCGGCCGGCACCACCGCTGGGCCCCGCAGCGACGGGTCCCGCCCCATCCAAGGGGTCGACCTAAACTGTGTCTTGGCGATTCCGTGGGCCGTTTTCGTTGCGATCTCGCTTTGCAGCACAGGCGGATCGAAGACACAACAAGGGAAAACGACAGCGAGAAACACTGTTTGGGTCGATCCCTGCCCTATCCCCCCTGCCCCTCCCCCCGCGGGGGGGGCCCCCGGCCTCGCACCGGGGACGCCACAGCTCTCGGCGTTGCCTCGAGGAGCCCCCCCTCGGTGGTTCAAGAATGGGGTCCTGAGGGATGGGGTCCTGAAGGACGAGGTGCCTCAAATAATGTAAATCCACCCTTGGATCCCTTCCTATCCTTCGGACCCCATCCATCGAGAACCCAATCTTTGAACCACCGACCCCCTTCTCCTCGTACGTTGAAAGGCCCTCTGCAGGCCTCTCCTCCGAGCTGGACGTCGTCCCGAAGCTGCTCTGACATCCGCAGTATGTCCGCCTGCCCACAGAAATGTCCGCCCATCCCAAGGCCCTGGGAATGCATCGCGAGGAGCCAGGTGGTTCGTTGATCATCGGCTGGCCGCACTTGAACGAAGGATTGCAAAAAAACAAAAAAACACAAAAGAAAACAACAAAAAAGTTTTTTTTTTGTTTTTGCAAACCCTTCCCCATCCCCCCCCCATCCAAACGATGCGCTGGAAAACAGCTCTGGAGCTCTGACAGGACAAGAGGCTCTCCGGAGTTCCGCTGCGTTGGGACCCCGTGGCCGCCCTCTCCCCCCGTTTTGGGCTACCCCGCGCCCCTCATATGGCGCCGCACGGGCGCCCCCCGCCGGGGGGCCTCGAGCGCTCCCCCCCCCCCCCCCCGCCCCCTGGCCGGTGGAGGCGCGACAAACGAAACGCCACGGCGGCTGCTCGCCTGGAGAACGCCACGGCGGCTGCTCGCCTGGAGCCAGCCAATGCATGGTCGGCTCGAACTGGATCCGCGCGAGCGGGAGCCCCTTTCTCTGGTTTGCCGTGGTGCACACCGACCGCCAAGGCCCCCATGGCGTCTGCATGATCGAGAGGCGCTGATCACACGAGAGAGCGCGTATTTTGCGGGCAAGGTGGGGCGTCTCGGAGGCGCTTTGCAGCCGCATTCATGAAACAAGAACGAGTCTGGAGTCTTGACCAGGGTGGAGACGCTTGCAGGTTTCGTGGGCCAGCCGTGTAAGCTTTGGGGGCCGCGCCAGTCCCCTATAGCCCCTTGGGCTCGGACGATGCTGTCCACCAGGCTTGCTTTGCTCCGTGAAAACCAGGGGTCGCGGACTTTACAGGCTGAGAAGGGAATGGAGTGGTCTGCGGGGGGGGGGGGGCTCGGGCAGGCACACATATACAAGAGGGGTGCTCCAAAGAGGGCCTTGCTTTCGAGGATCGAAGGAGTTGCCATCACATCCTTGGCGGAAGGCGGCGGAAGATCGGCGTAAGTAAAATGAGGCCGCCTCCGCCGGCGGAAGCCGGCTGAAGGCTGGCAGAAGGCGGCGGGGTGAGGAAAAGATGCGCCCCCAGGAGATGGCAACATTTTTGGGTTCAGGGTTTTCGGAGTCGGCCCAGTGGCCAAGACGGCATGCTGCGCCGCAGTTCAAACGGCAGCACGTTTTCTCCCCAGGCAGCGCGTGACCTCACGAGGGCCGTGACCTCTCCAAGGTCGTGCTGTGCACGGGCGGACTTCACCGCATGCAGGCCGGGGCCCCACGACGACGACGACGATTGCGACGACGATTGCGACGACGACGACGACGACGACGACGACGACGACGACGACGACGACGACGATGACGACGACAACGTCGACGGGCGGACTTCACCGCATGCAGGCTGGGGCCGCTGCTCCGGTTCCCCTGAGATGAAGGGGCACTGACTGGGGCGCTGGTCGGAGGTCTCTGACGTCCTGCATGACGCACAACCACGCCAAGATCCGCATCCTGGCGGGGGGAGGGAGGCACGAGCCTGCGAGGGGCAGGCTTCGAATCCTGGCTTCCGCCTCCTTCCTCGTCCCTTCTCGTCCTCCCTCCTCCCTCCTTTCTCCCCCCCTCATTTCTCCTCTCTGCCCCCTCCTCTGCCCCATCCTCCTCCGTCCTCGTTTCTCGTCCATCCTCCCCCCCCGGTCTGTCATTCTTGGTCGTCGTCGTGATGGTGGTGGTCGTCGTCGTCGTAGCCGCCCTCTCGCAGGAACGAGGGGATGATTTTGTACTCCGCGGCTCAGCCTCCCTCCACGACAGCACCGTAGCCCCGAGGAGGGGCAGGTCTCGAGTCCTGGCCGCACCTCCCTGGCGGCGCCTCTGGCGCCGCCCCCAGGCCCAAGAGGTCGGCGCGGACCTCCGACAGGTTGTATGTCATGCCGCTGCTTGTTCGTGCGCAGTCGGTTACTGCGACGTTGGCGCGCCGGCGGCGCCGCCGAAGGCGTTCGAGGTCGAGCTCTGCAACGCGGAAGCGCCGAGGGGCACGGTGACGCCATTGGACCCAATTCAATTCAACCTTGAACGATCGGGCCCGCGATCGATTCGAGGATGAAGGATCGACGCGGTGTCAAAGGCCTTTGTGCGTGCCGACGCCGTGCGAACCTGCCGTAGGCCAGCTGGAAGGAGCAAGGGGGGAGAGAGCGATGAGCGGGGCGGGAGGAGTGAGGGGAGGTGGGAGATGGGGTGGCCAGTGGAGGCAAGAGGGGAGCAGCACGGAGGGCTGGAGGAGAGAGGAGCGAAACTGAGGGGGGTGAAGCGGTCATTGTCGAACCGAGGCATGAGCAGTGCGCTCAGCTCCGATGAACTTCGTACGAGAGTTCGGGTGGTGCTTGGAGTCGAGGTGACTTGCCACTTACGCCACCGCAAACTCACAAACCATACACTCTAGGCGATGCTTAAGAAAACCCAAGTTTTCGGCCAGAGTCTCGATTATTCTTAATGTTTCAATGTACATCCTAAGATTTGAATAGACATTTGGAGTTTTTATTCAAATTCTGAGACTATGAATTTCTTCACCCATGATTTCTAGAGCATTTCGCAGGGTGTACTCCAACAGAGTGAGCCTGAGTGAAGAAGCTGCCTGCCAGCACCCCAGGGAGGAAGCGGAGGGAGGAGGGAGTCCGGGGGGAAAGAGGCGGGAGCGAGGCGGGGGCCGGAGAGGGAGGACAAGAAGAGCGAGGTGGCGGATCGTTGATCGATGTGGGCGCATCGAGGATCGAGTTTTCTTTCTCGTTTCCGCCGCCGCCTCCTCCTCCTCCTCCTCCTCCTCCTCCTCCTCCGCCTCCTCCTCCTCCTCCTCCTCCTCCTCCTCCTCCTCCTCCTCCTCCTCCTCCTCCTCCTCCTCCTCCTCCCTCCTCCTCCTCCTCCTCCTCCCCCCCCTCCTCCTCCTCCTCCTTCTCCTCCTCCTCCTCCGTTTCTGCGCCTCGTTTCGGTTCACCTGGAGGTCTTTGGAGGCCTCTCAGGACCTCTTGGCCTGGAGGCGGGATGACGGGAAGCCTGCGCGAATGCCTAACCTCTTGCTTTGCTCGGTCTCTGGCCGTCCGCGCGTTCCGACCCTGCCTTCGCTGCAGATGTCTGCGGAGCAGGAAATGTGGGAGAACCAAGGCTGGGACGACTACCAACGGCTTGGATCACCCCGCATCTCGCAGAGCTGGTGATCTCTCTTGGAGCCTAGTCGGGTCTTGCGCGGCCAGGCGTCAGATGCTCTTCTCCCCGTCGTCGTCGCCATTGTCCTCCGGCTCCCCCCACATTTCTGCGCGGTGCTTACAGGCATGGTGTGGTGCTGACAGGCATGCTGTGGTGCTCGCAGACATGCTATGACGCTCGCCAGCTACTGCGGTGCTCATAAGCCTTCACAGCCTGTCGTCGTCAACGTCGTCATCGTCATCGTTGTTGCCGTCGTCGTCGTCGTGGTTGTTGTCGTTGTCGTCGCCGCCGCCAGTCGTCACCCTCGTCATCGTCCTCGTCGTGGCCGCTGGAGGTATTGTTAATACTTTTCGTTAATAGCACTACTACCATCACAACTGCTACTACAGTCAACCCGCATAGTCAGGATGGGCAACCTTCCCAAGGGTACCCTTGCATCCTTGCCTTCTCGGCCCATCCTTGGCCGCTTTCGTTGGCCGCGGCCCGCTCGAAAAGCTTTGAGATGGGCGTCCAAGGCCCTTGCATCCTTATCGCGCATCCTTACTGTGCGGGTTGACTGTACTATGCCATCGCCTGCCACGTGACCATTGCCCCGCCACGGGGGGGCGACCCCCGCGTAGTGAACGTTACGTGTGGGAATTTACAAGCAATATCGTCCCCGTCGCCGTCCCGCGTAGGGAGCCCAGTGCGGTAGAGCCACCCATTGTGTTCACTGAATTGACGGAAAGGATAGTTGGAGGAGGAGGAGGAGGAGGAGGAGGAGAAGGAGGAGGAGGAGGAGGAGGAGAAGGAAGGAGGAGGAGAAGGAGAGAGAGAAGGAGGAGGAGGCGGGGGACGAGAGTAGGGAGGACGAGAGTGGAGAGGACGAGGAGTAGGAGGAGGAGGAGGACGAGGAGAACGAGGAGGAGGAGGGGATGCGGGAGGCTACCTTCACTCAAACTTAATCTTCATCCCCCTCAGGAACAAGGCGCCCGATGCTAACCTCTAGGTAATTCGGAGGAACGTGAGTGTTTGCATACAGTTAAGCATCTCCTCGAGCAAGGATCACTGATCCAACACACATTTGGCATTCTGCCAACATCAGTAGCTCAGCGGAGTGATCATCCAGAGGGTTCAGCATGCTGGCCCAGCGGCCTGATCATCACCCTGGTGTCTGACCCGATATGATGTCGGGTGCCCTGACATACCGTGTGCAAATTGGCCTCGCCTTGGGGATGATGTGTTCAATGTGAGTGCATCTTGTTGTTCGCGACGTGGGGTTCCCACAGCAGCTCTCGACACCATCCCCGGGAGCACCTTTTCATCCTGGGCCGTTGGTTTTGATGGTCCCGGGGTCCTGCACGGGCGTCTGGAGGCCGAAGACGCCGGCAATATTGGGCGCCACAGTGTTGTCGGAGCACCGGATGTCTGGGGAGGCGTTGCGCGCGCTCACCGCGGTGCTGTACTGCGGCATCTGGAAGCACAACCACCCCATCTTCTGCATCCTCATGGCGTGGCAGGACGCCCGGCCGCGCGCATCCCCCGCCCAGGAGCTCGCGTGGGCGGCCCAGGCCGAGGCCGCCTGGCCCGTCCCGTGGCGGCGGGGGGTGCCGCAGGCGTGGCGCGTCCCAGCAGCCCCGACAGGCTCCTCGAAGTCGACGGCGCCACGAAGCCCGCTGATGCCGAGAAGGGGAGGCGAGAGGGGTAAGGACGAGGACTCCGAAGGGGAGGACGAAGTAGCGGAGGATGACGATGGTGATGTCGAGGGGGGGAGGGGCGGGGGAGCCTTTGGCGGGGGAGGAGAGGGAGCATGAGGACGAGAAGGAGGAGGAACTCTTGAGACATGATCCCGCAGTAGTCTTGGGAGCTGGCTTGCGGTCTTGTGGATCGCCTTCGAAGAGGCTTTCCTGGGACTCTTCGAGTCGTTGAGTTCCCTCTTTCTGGGGCCTCTCGTGGGCCCCTCTCGGGAGCCTCTTTGACCGTCTCGGACGCTCTTCAGACCGAATGCTGCAATCGTATATGAACCCCAGACAGGCATCTTGGGCCAGCCAAGCAGCCTACAAGAAAAAGTGATGGCGCCAGACCCGAGGGGCGCCTGAGAGCCAGGGGCGGCCTGACCGTCCCAGCAAGCCACCCCCTGGCAGTGCACATGCTGCTGTCTCGTGGCCTGCGCGATCCACGTGCGCGAGCGGGGCAGCTTCGCGTGGGATGCCGCGCACCGAGATGCGGCGCCCGCACGGCGTGGCCACCGGTGCTTCACGCGACCTGCGCAGCGCGCCACACGAGGCGCGGCACGCGCGCCGACGCGGCCGCCAGACAACCGGCGCGGGGGGGGGTCGTCACGGAAGGAGCCGATCGAGGGCTCCCCTCGTCACGGACGCGGCCCGTGTGGGCGGTGCCATGGGGCACGCGGGCACGCCCGGCTGTGCCTCGCACTCAAAGACGCTGGGGCCCAGAACTGATGGGCTTGTTTTCCACCACCACCACCATAAGTAGGAGGAAGAGGAGGAGGAGGAGGAGGAGGAGGAGGAGGACCCCCTCCCCCTCCAACTTATGGTGGTGGTGGTGGAAAACAAGCCCATCACGAACGCCTCCGTTGCGGGAGGGGCCGGGGCCCGTGCCTGGCGCATCTTCTGGCGATGACGGGCCGAGCGGGTGCCACTGCTCGTAAAGCGCCCACTTGCAAGCATCCGACGAAAACATGCTTGCCTCGATGTAATGTTTCGCGACTCCCCCGCGGCGGATCCAAGCTATTTGCGAGTTGTTTACCTCATCCAGTATTCAAGAACACTCCCCCCCGGTATCGTTGGCACCGTACCAAACAGCAAAGGGAAATCCCCCCAGGCTTCTTGGGTGCCTCATCGTCATCTTCTTCCAGGTGCCAGAATAACGCCGGTGCCACATCATCTTCCAGGTGCTGGAATAACGCTTCCCGGTGCGGGAAGTTATCCTTTTGCCGGAAGGGGGGGGTCTTAAATACTTCATAGGGTTATTTTGCGATTGGAACGCGCTTGTCTAATAACGGGCGTTGCTTCGGGGGAGGGGGGTCAGCGGAGGGGGGAGGATGTGGCCAGTGATGTCACGCTTTGCGCCGGCGCCGTCTGGGAGTTAGCTATATCCCCAGTTATCCTCGGACAGCGCCGTCGCGAATCGTGACGTCACCTTTGGGGGAATCGGGGGCGGCCCCGGCAAGAGATCTCCACGATATCCCCCTGGAGTCCCGAACCATAGCAAAACATGTCAAGTTCAATATTGTGCATTTGTTATGCTTTCTACGCTTCCCAGACATGTGCCAAAGGTATCATCAAGATAGTCCAGGAGCGCCCCAAGACAGGCCGGAACCAGCCCAAAACAGCACCAAGATTTCCAGGGGGGCCTCAAGAGGCCCAAGAGGGCCCCGAAACGGGCCAGGAGATCTCGAAGAGCACCCCAAGAAGTAGAGTTTCGCCTTCCTGCCAACGCGAGCAATGTGCCCAGGATCCGAACAAGGTGCCCATCAAGGCCGACCGTCTGGTCTTCTGCTGCTGCCAGCTTACGCCTGTCCACTTGTTCCTTTCTGTTTGGCATTCCACGCTCACGAGCGTTGTGTTGTCCCGTCGTCTGCGTGTCTTCCTATGTCAGGAGTTATCGCCTTCCCAATTCTGTTCCGGCAGTAGTCAATCGGCGCTGCATGTAGGCAACAGAACCGCGTCTGCATGCTCGCGCGACGTCGAAGTGAGCCTCGCACGTTGATACATGATTTTGTTGTTGCTGATGGGCCGTGGCCTCGAGCCAGGATCAAATCCTTCCTGCCCACGGGGGTCTCGGCTTCACCACGCACAGACGGAGGCACCTTTGATTGAAGGCACTTTCGATTGAAGGAGCGAGACCAGGGTGGTTCAACTGATGTGGGCCTACGGTCGTCGTCGACGAGGTGGTGGCCGTGACGGCGGCTTTGGCGGCGCGGCCTCGACGGCGCGCGGGATGTGGACGCGGAGCATCTCCAAGGCCTTGGTGCGACTTTCTCGTTCCGGGAGTGCTCAATGCTCATATGTCCTTGCACGGTTTTGCTTGCTGGGCATGTCGGGCCCTGTATGCACGTCCCATGCAGAGACACAGCGATGTTGATTGCTTGGGCTGGGTGGGTGGCCGAGAGTTTTTGCGGAGGCGTTTTATGAACCTGTGACCTCTGTCAACTACATGTCCAATTACAGCTTCGACCGGCATCCTACGGTGCGACCATGAGACCGTACAGAGTTTTGGAAACTCACCGATGCGCAATTTGCATAGTTTGTCATATGCTGTCCATTTCTTATTATCATTTTTCTTCTTCCGTCTTCTTTTCTCCCCCGTCCCATACATGCACGTCTATGCTCTATGAGTGTGTACATCAATAGTTATGTGTATGTGTGTTTCTGATTTGCTTTCGATCTCCCGAGAGCATTGCAGTGGTCCGTTTGTTCTCCAATCGCTGAGAATGCCAGGTATGCCGATGATGTCACTTAAATGCTATCTTGAGATTAGATACCTCCTTGAAGTGCGCTCTGCCTTTTTTCTTGAGCACTGCTTCAATTGTTGGGATTGTCTCTGTTTTCGTTGAGTAGGGGGCTGCGCAAGGAGCCCATGACCTGCAGTGACGGACTCACGGACTCATCCGAGATTAGTGCGGATTGCAGAGGCCCTGCTAGCGCATCTCTCAGCGCACCTCCTAGCTCTATACATGCACATCGAGCACAAGAGCTGATTTGAACTCAGCTCTCGTCGCTCGAGAAGGCGAGACATCACGCGCGCAGACACAGCACACCCAGCATTCATCTCACACGTTTCTTGGCCAGGGTCGCCACTGGGACATGTGGAGGGGATGGCAGGGGATGCCATAGAATCCTCGCGCCGTCCCCGGAGTGCAGGTGTGTGTTTCGAGTACGTGCTCTGCTGTCTCTTCCTCCGTACATGATTCCGTGAACATGTTGGTTTACCGTGCGTACTGTCTCGCGACTGGGGTGTCATATCGCGAGGCCGCTACCGCAAAAGAAACGTGTGTGTATGTGTGTATGTGTGTGCGCATGTGCTTGTGTGTTGCGTACCGCCAGCTCACCGCCCAGGACAACTTACCACCATGTTGAGGAGTATGTGGTCGCCGAGGAGGTGTGTGTGTGTGTGCGCGCGCCCGTGCCTGCGTGTGTGTGTGCTTGAGTGTGGATCGTTGGACATCTTCATTCCAGTTTGCGCTCTCAAGGCCGGTCTAGGGCACAGGCTCTCGCTCGAAACACTGCGTCACGCACTTCATGGGTTCCAGTGAGATTCGGCCCCCTTCAAGGCGGTCGCGAGAGCGTCTCGAGATGATATGCAAGCCACCCTTAGCATGTCCAGATCGTAGTCTAATCCAAAGCCCTCGGTGTGCGTGGAAATATGTGGCGGCCGTGGACCCAGCGAGGGTCACCACTAGTGATACACAATACCCGGTTCGAGCGTCGTACGGGCGGCGACCTGGTTGACGCAAGGATTGCAATCGCGAGGCAGCGATGCTCGTGCCTTCGTGTCTGCTCTTGCACAGACTCTGTCGGAGTTGGCGCCGCTCGAACCCCTTGCGCTCGGAGCCCTCCGGGCCGCGGGGGCTCCCTCCACTCCTCTTCGGGGGATCGGAGGGGGCGGCAAAAGGGGGGATTGGTTCACGGGCAGAAGCGTGGTTCACAATCGCCTATTCATCGCCGATCGGGGCTTGGGTGTCCCACCCCGCCCGGGAGCGTGAGGTGCACGTAGGAGTGACACTTCGCCGGAATGGCCGATGGTGCGGGCCCGCTGGGGTCCCCCGATCGCCGAGCGCAAGGCGGGAGTGGCGTCTTGCGTGCTCGGGGTTGGTCCTCTCGCGGCCCCCAGAAAACCGCGCACCAAAGGTCACTCTTACCCAGGGTTACTCTTGCGTGTAGCCGAGATCTATCGGTCTATCGGCGATGCATCGCTGACTCCTGGCCGACATTCCCCAACCCCCCGAGCCAGCCCACTTCCGTCGCCGCGCGACCTTCCCTAGATCTTGGCTAGGGGCATGTCGCCCGCACACTCGTGGAGGCTTTCAGTGCCACATGGAACGACCCCGCCTTCAAGAATCGAAGGGGCTGCCATCTCTTCTTTAGCGGAAGGCGGCCGAAGGGCGGCGGAAACCGGCGGGAGAAATTGGGGGCGGCTCCGGCTGGGAAAGTTAGCGGAAAGCCAGCGGAATCCAGCGGAAGTCAAAGGGGTTTCTTGCAAGAGGTGGCAATATGTGAGGGGATGCGACCCACTGTCGCTGGCCTGAAGCAAACAAATCTCAAGAGGGTGTCAGAAACCAGGGGGCCCTTCCTCCCCCCGCGAAGCAAATCTTCCATGGGGGGGTCAAAACCAGTGCACCCCCCAACGCGCGGTCTTGTTTCTCGTCGACGTTGCTCAATACGCGGCAGGTATAGGACGCAGCTCATGTCGCTCGCTGAACGTCTAGCCGCCCACGATATAAGATGAGCGACAGGTGTCGGACGCGACGCATTTGCTTCTTATGTTGTGGGAGGGCGGGTGGGAGTGGACGCAGCCCTCTAGCTCATTCGAGCTGGCTAACTTGACCCCCCCCACCGCCCCCACCCTTCAAAGGACCGGGAGATTCGGGCCC